CAGAAAACCTAAAGGCTCTGATACCAACTTGTGACACCCCCAAATTTTCCCACCCAAAATAATACTTTGAAATAGAGATGAACTTTTATTTAATGATTAAAACTTCAAAAGTTGCAGCGGAAATTAATAAAACTAAGTAAAAGGGGCATGTCACCGCCACATCCAATCCGTGAATGATTGGATGCTAAGGCTATCTACCAAAACACGAGTTTAACAAAATCAAGATGTTTGAATCATAAGAAAATATTAAAGTTTATTTCTAGTGAACTACATAATTGTCTTCTAATTCGCGCTCTCAAACATTGCAGCATCAAATTCATCATGATCACCTCCTGTTAAATACGAGCACAAGAAAAATAAAAGAACACAAACATTAGCAATAATGCTAAGTAAGTTCCACCTAACCTTTTAAAATAATAATAAATACTATATATAAATTCGTACAACCTCATAAAATATTTTTAAAAACACTTTATAAACCATGAATCATAAGTAAACGATATCTATATAAAATCCCAATCACATAATTAACTCGTAAATCATAATAATTCCAAAATACATGAAACACCAAAATTCTCCTCTTTTGAATTTCTCCCAAAATCACTTTGTATCTAACTTCCTAGTAATTTAGAAGGGCGGTGCTCAACACTTTGGTTGAGCCCGGTGGTCCGTTGTTATGTACGGCCACCCCGGAACTATTGCCGGTACCACAACTGCTCCTTGGAAACGGAAACAACTACTTTAAGTGTGCACACCCCCTAAAGGTATTCCAAGCCCTCCGGGTTAGTAAGTCGATCCAGGTAGCCGGGATGTTTTCTACCAACTACCCCACCTCAAAAACTGGATGATTAGGAGCTACTACTACCACTACTACTCAAAAGCCGGGATGTTTTCTACCGACCGTCAATTCACCTCAAACCAAAACCAACAAAAATTGAGTAGTAGTAGACCTAACCACCTTCCACATTTTAAGGGACGTGGAAAACCAACACCACGGATTTCTCCCGTGATGCTCACCTTTTATGAAAATATTTATTCTTCTTTGTCTTCTCAAAATCAATCGAAGTTTTTACTTCAAAAATTCCCTTTTTCATTAAACTCCCACAAAGATAACAAATTACGTACTATTACAAAATCTTCCAAAATAACTCATATCAACAAACTAATATCTCAAATACAATCCTTTTATATAATGATATTCAAATTCAGCACACATAAATTCAATTCTCAAATATGCACACAAAAATATGTAAAAGAAATCACGAAGAAAAAGAACTAATATCGGTTGACGTGAAACTTACATTAAGTCCCGATGCTCCTAATTCTCTTCTTCAATTTGGGTCTCTAAGTATTCACCTTTTTAATTAAGATAATATAATTAGTCACTTATTCTATTTTAATCATTTATCCTTTTTCCCCCCTTTTTATTTCCTTATTCAAATTTATTAATTAATTAATTATTCGAGTTAATCACTTTTTATTAATCAAATTACCTTATTAATTCAGTCATTAATTACAATATTTGAATTCTAATATTAAATAAAATATTCGAATATAATTAACTACAACATCTAAATTTTTATTCAATAATCACCATTAATTTTCTCTAATTTTTATCTAATTACTTTATTTACATAACCGAAAATATTTATTTTCCTTATTTTATTCAAACATTATTTTTAGTCCAGAATATTATTTTTCAACCTCAGTGATTTATTTATTTCACCATTACTACTAATATTTCCTTATTTAATTACTTAACTAGTTTTATATGGCCTAATTTAAATAAATAGACTAAAAATCGACTTTATAAATTAGTAACCGTCCATAAATATATTTTGGGTCTATATTCGACTTAGGTTGTCCAGATATCTATTTTATAATTATTTCCCATAATTATTCCTTTAATTTCATATATCTATTAACCGGTTTAATTACAACTAAATATACTAAATCTTATTTTTATTAATTATAAATGGTCCATAAGGTCCTAGTTAGTCATATATTTATCCTAGTTTACTCTAATATTTATTTCATAATTACTTTCGTTATTTAGTTAATTATTTACTAAATGTGTATAAATTGGCCCAATTATCATTAAATCCATTAAAAATAGCTAAAAATTTTATTTTCCAATTCTGGTTGGTCCGAATATGTATATGTATACTAGGTATTTAATTTATATTTTTCCAGATTTTATTTATTTCATTTACTATTTTATTTTTAATTTTTATTGCAACTGGGCCGAACTGGGCCAAATTAAATTATTCTGGCCCAAAAAAATTAGGCCCAAGAGGGACCCCAGCTGGGTCTTCTTCTTCTTCCCCAGGTCGCCGGAAAAACGGGGAGAGAGAAAAAAAACGGGGAAAGAGGTTTTACCTCGTCGGAAACGGCCAACAGGGTAGCGGTGCACTCCTCTCGGGACGGCGAATGACGGTGGTGGGTTGGCGGCAGTGGCAGCTCCTCCCTCTTCTCCGTTTTCCGTCGAAAAGCTTTTCTCCGGCGAAACTCCGGCGAGGTTTTTCTCCCTCGTTTCACGACCGTTTTCGGCGATTCTTTTTCCGTTGGATTCGTATCACGAAGGGGAAGGTTTGGGAAGTATTTTCACTGCTTGGTTCTGGCTAAAACGATGGGTCGCAATTTTTATATATATATATATATATACGTATATATGTATGTATATTTCGTAGCTTTTTGGGATGAAGAAAACGTAGGTTCTGGCCTATTATTTATAGGGAAAGATGAGAGTTTTAGTTTGTGTAGGACTCAATCGGCTTCTTCCGTACCCCGTCGGTAGTTTAACTCCCGTAGGAGTTTTGCTTAATACTATATACGTAGTAGTAGTAATATAATAGTATACGTAACTTAGTAAGTAGGAGTATTGTAATTATATTTGGTTATATATTAGTTATACGTAGGTTTAATATTATGTATGTTATATTACTATTACTACGTACGTATATCTATATATATATATATATATATATATATATATATATATATATATATATATGTATGTATGTATGTATTAAGATTATTTTATTTATTTAGTTTATCTTTTGTATATTATACAATCTAAAATAGTTATAAAAATTAATTTTATACTAAAATATAACTTCTATTATCGGGCCATTTTTATCTGATTAAAAAGTCGTAAACTTGGAAATTTTCTGTCTGGTTTACTTGTTTAATAAAATGTTGTTCCTATTACTGAAATATTTTATCTGACTAAAACGTCATAAATTTTGAAATTTTATCTGTTTAGAATTTTACAACTGTTGAATTTTTGTCTGACTCAATTAATAATTAAAATGTTATTTTCGAAATATTTTATCTGACTAATAAAAATTATTTTTATTTTTATTTAAATTTTTGAAGTGTCACATTCACCCCTCACACTCTTCGGCCTGAAGCAGTGGGGGACTGGGGGACTACACCGGCCTCAACAAAACAAAAGGAAAAATGCAAACACAAATGTAACCATGAAGCATGGCCACATCGTCCATGTATCACACTGCGCCTCGTCGGCCAAAGGAACATAACGTCATCAACAACGGCCAACTGGCCACCCAAGGCAAGGACACTCATCGTCCTCCGCCACAGTTAATCATAATGGGCTCTTCGACCAAGAACACGAAAGCCAATCAGCGACTGCCAAAAGGAGTGCGCAAACACCCTCATCGGCCACCCAAAGGAAAGGGCGCCATCGTCCTCGAAGCAAGGATCAACCTCAACGGCCTCATCGGCCCAAAGGTAAACTTCAACCATCAACACCCAAGAAAGGGAAATCGCGCCTTCAACGGCCACCATTGAAGCAGGACACTCATCGTCCCCAAACGAACACATCGAGTAAACAACGGCCTCCCCGTCCACAGCGAGGAGCAGGTAATGGTCAAAGCACAGAACAGGATCACCGAAATGGAAACAGCTCCAACGCCGCAACAGCTAACGGCCTGGGAATGCCCGCATCGGCCAAAAGCACCAAAGCACGGGAATCTACTCTCCTTCACTTCGTCTACGTCTCAGCTTAGAGAGTGGGGGACTCCTGATGGAGTATATGGGTATGAGCCCCCGGACCCACATACTCAGAAGAACAGAAAGCACAAGACATCGAGTGGCGCCCACGTCGGCCAAGGGACCCCCGTCGGCCGAGAAGGTACTGACTCAGATTATGGTCCTGAAGCCAAGGAACCCGGGTGCCCTCGTCGGCCGTGCCCTCGTCGGCCACGCCCTCGTCGGCCACGAGGACCTCACAGAACTGGATTTTATACTTACTCATTTGTACAACCCATTAGTGGCTTTGTATTCGGCCCAGTAGCGGTCCAGTTGTAAATGGGCCTCCCAAGCCCAAGGTTTGGGAGCCCAGCCCGTATTTTCTCTATAAATACTCCCAGTTATATGGGTGACAAATTCATTCTATTGAAGCATATTATTGCACGTCTCTCTCTAGCTCTCACCTCTCTCTAGATATACTCTATCAGTTACCGTAGTTCCTATTGTAATGAAAAATATGCAACCGTGAATTTTTTAATAAGGATGTTTTTCAATTTGATTGAATTTGTTTTAGTTTGATTTGGTCTGATCTGGTCCGATCTGTTTAAGTCTTGTCTGGCAGATGTCTGGTCTTCATTTATTATTTTTATTTTTATTTAGTCTGTTCATTTATTTACAATAATATATACTTTTTGTAAGCAGGTTAATTTTGACAATAATGACAACACCTAGTATGACTCGGATTCCACTAGCTCATCATCTAGCGACGATTCACCTATATTATCTACACAAATGCTCAATGAGTTAAGGAGGGATGATGACGTTTATGCCGAAATGACCATTGATGTAGTTGAGACATGTGCAGTTCACGTCCCATTGATATTGTCTCCTATGTTAGTATGTAGCAAAGGTCCTCATGGCGGTTCAACGAGTGGTAGACGATATATAAATCGTGATAGAAAAGAACGTCATGATCTAATTGTCAATGATTATTTCAATGGTGAGAACTCAAAGTATACACCTGAGAAATTTCGTCGACGATTTCGGATGGACATCGAATTATTCCAACGAATTTTGAGAGCAATTGAGGCATATGATGATTATTTTACATAAAAGGTTGACGCGATCGGAAAACCCGGGCTGAGTCCTTTACAAAAAATCATAGCTTCAATACGTATGTTAGCATATGGTTGTGCAGCGGATATTCTTGACGAGTATGTCCAAATTGGAGAGAGCACGGCAATTGAGAGCTTGAAACGATTCTGCGATGCTATAATTGGCATTTTTGAAAAGCAATATTTACGAAAACCGGACAAAGATGATGTCGCAAAACTTTTGAAAGAGGGAGAAGACCGTGGATTTCCAGGTATGCTTGGTAGTTTAGATTGTATGCATTGGCATTGGAAAAATTGTCCAACGGCTTGGCATGGGACACATACTAACGGTTTCAAAAGAGTTCCAACTCTTATTTTGGAAATCGTAGCTTCTAAAAATTTGTGGATTTGGCATGCATTTTTTGGAATGGACGGTACAAATAATGATGTTAATGTTTTAGATAAATCTCCCTTATTTGATGACCTTGTTAATGATAGAGCACCACTATGCAATTATGTAGTGAATGGTCATCATTACAATATGGGGTATTATTTATCAGATGGGATTTATCCGGAATATGCCACTTTAATCCAAACTATCTCAAATCCATCTTCTCTCAAGGAAAAATTATTTGAAAGGCATCAAGAGTCTGTGAGAAAAGATGTAGAACGAGCATTCGGAGTACTGCAAAGTCGATGGCATATTATCAAAGGTCCGGCACGTATGTGGAATCCAAAGGATTTAGGAAAGATTATGAAAACATGTATCATTTTACATAACATGATTGTTGAAAGTGAAAATAGTCAAGGCATTAATCCTCAAAGTTGGCAATCCGAGGGAGAAGATCCAAGTGACAATGTTGTTCCGGATCATGATTTTACCTTCCTTTTTTCAAGGATGAACACTCGAATGAAGGAGATACAAAATAAAAGATTGCACCGAGAGTTAAAGACCGATCTCATAAATCATTTGTGGGAGTTACATGGTGGTCAACAAGTCGATTGATCTTTTATTAAAATGCCTTCATATATCTTATTTGAACTACTCATACAACCGGAAATTCATTTATATTTCTTTGTTTTCTAATACTACGTTCGAGCGTTTAATTTATTGCTCTTTTCATGTGTATTACATTTAATTTTGACTATTATAAGATGTTCTCTTCTATTGCATTGTTTTTCTTTTTGGCTTATATACTAAAGTGCTGTTTAAAAAAATAAAAGGACGTTATCTTCTCTATTTCGTTCTAAATACTAGTATTCCCTGCAAATGGAAAAAGTATTGCATTAAACAACTTTTTAGTCTTGTGTATTTAAAGTCGGGCATGAGTTTTAAAAACTATTATGAATTGAACCTATAACTAAAAGAATGCCTTTTTGTGGTTTCTAATTCCAACTCACTATTCAAGCATTAAGCACAGGGGAAAATGCAAAAATGACAATGTTCATCAACTGTGTAATTTGGTTTACTTAATAGCTACTTCTCCTAGTTTAATAATGATTGTATTTCAATCTCATTAACAGGAAGAAAATAATTATGAAATAAGCAAAAGAAATGTTTCTATGGTTTAAGACTACTGTCATTTGGTAATACTCTCCGGTCTATCCCTGTTTCTATCACTTGTGGTGTGCACCGGTTCAAAACCGGACTGGAACGAAACCGGGATCTGTATTTTTTACGGACTGGAGACCTGAACCGATAGCAACAAGTCCGGACCTGATTTTTCCGGTCTAGGTTAGACCTGATTGGAGCTATATTAAAAATTTGCACTTTAACTTTTATTTTTTATAAAATCGCATATGTGTGTGCTGCCTACCTGAGTATCTTGGTCAGACCAAAATAGGCCTCTTATTTCACGGCTACAGATCAGACTTGCAGTGCAGCCTATCTTTATAATGCACTTATTCAGGTCCTAGGCAACACTATCAAATGTTAAAAATAAGTACTACTATTTCCTAAGAAAACAAGCATTACAAAGACTTCAGTATATATTTCTCAAATTAGGGCTAAGAGTGCTCAATGTCTATGATGATTCATTGCTTGCTATCCTTAAAACTCAATTATACAGTCATGCAACTATATCCATTGTTCAATGCAATGTAAAAATCCAGACTAAGTATTTTTACACAAATAAATTCATCACTCCATAGAAAGAATATGCCTTCAAGATAAATTGTTGCTCATTAAATATTCAAAATAGGAAAAACATTTAACATTGTCTGATTAAAAAGCTACTATCAATAATCTACTAGTTCACAACCCACTTGAAAAGGAAACATCGCTGACATTAAACAAATGACTAGATTTTAAAAGAGACTTCCCAAAAAAGTGCAGTCTTGAACGTCAAGTGCTGGACATGGAGAAAAAGAAATGGTCATTATTAGTTTAGTCACAATTCATTCAAAGTCGATACAAAACAAATAAAATATGTATTTATTATTTACCTACTACATCAAAAGAGGCCGTCTTTTTTCCATTCTTTTAGAATATTTGCTTGCATGTCTTCATATGCTGCTCGAGCAATTGGTGAGAGCTTACTTAAATCCTGATTCATAATATGCCACTGTAACTTCGTCTTCTGAGCGTTCTCTTTTAGCTCAATATCTATTCTCACCAGTTTCTCTTTCAATTGCAATTCTTTTTGGTCATTCTCTTTTTTTATCTCTAGAGCTGTAATATTTGCACAAACTTGTTTGTCTAAAGTGCTTTGTAGCTTGTTCAGTGCATCCACCACACCTTTTTCCTCATGCAACTTTCTTTTTTTATCCTTGCAACCTTTTCTTCCTTGAGGACGCATGAGCCCATCTGAGTTATTACCTCCAGAAGGCATAGTTTCTTCATTAATATTCAGTCCATCATCTTCTGCTACCGGGGAGTTGGAGATATCAACAGTTTTTTTATTTGTTTTAGGCGGTTTCACATGTTGTGAGTACCATTTTGGATTTTTTATCATTACTTCCCAACAATGAAGATACTTGAATGGGCTTCCTTGAATGTCTTCATACGATCCCATCGCCTTATTTATCTAAAACATAAAAATGAAATTTAAAATTTAGCTAACCTTCAATAACAAACAGTTTTAAATATTAAAGAAATAGAAGCTTTTAAATTTTACACCAACTAGAAGCAAAAAAGCCTGATGTAGAAGCTTTTGAATTTTACACCTACAGTCTCATTGCCAATTTTTTATAAGAGTTTTCACCGGAAATAGGAGTTTTACTGTGACAGTCTCATGACTTTATTCTGTCATGACTTTATTCTAATATCAAAATCTAAAAAGAGAAGTAGTACATATACATATTCAAGCAATAACAACGGTCTTAAAGCATTACACATGCTGGAATACTGAAAGTCATTATTAGGTTGAAATAATACAAGAACAAAAACTGCAAGCTCAAAATGTAATATTCTTACCAAATCGTCCACGTTTGTGCCACTTTGCGGGTGTCTATCCAATCGTTCGTAATGCCCAATGAATTTATTCACCACTGTTTGAATTTTTCCCCAATGACATTGCAAGCTGTTGTTTTTTCTAGGAGGATTGCATCTAGCCCCCATATTCTCCTTAAAGACTTCTTCAATTCTCACCCACATAGCAGTACTTTTTTGATTATTTCCAATGTCTGCGTCCATTGATACGTGTAACCACGCCATCCTCAATGCTACATCTTCTTCTTTGGTCCATTCTTTTCTCATAATTGCAGCTTCAGATACTATCCCTCTATCAGTGCTTTTCTTTTTTGGTCTTTTTGGTGAACTCTCAGACTGAGCATTTGCCATTGGAGTATTCAATATTGGAGAATTCAATAGACTTTGGAATGGTATTTTAGATCCATATTGATCAACATAATAAGGATACATTCCATTGCTTTGGTTGAAGTTATAAGCTGGTTGAATTGGTGGGATTGAGTGAAGTGATTGGCTTGAGTGTTGAGCTGGTATTGGGTGAATATACTGGTACTGAGAAGAAGAGAAGGTCTCAGGGTCTTGTGAATCCATTGCTTTATATATCTGCATAATAAAGAAGTAAGCATAATGTAGCTATAAGCCAACAAATTGTTATCAAACTAAACTATCATAACTTATAATATGGGGATTATAGACTATCTAGCTATGCAGAGAAAACATCTGTTTCACTTTGGATTCAAAACCTTATAACAAATGTAATTCTTTGAACTCAAAGAGATCGAGTAGGTTTAAAAAAAACAAAAAATAGTCATTACTGTTCCTGGCGGGTGTGTGTATATGTAGTTTTTAAACTTGTTCTCTACTGGCAGTGAGGTTCATGTTAGCGTAGAATTAGAAGTGAATGAATCAGATTCTAGCTCTAAAGAAGGATGAACTTACTACGGAGTGATGAATTTATATGTTACCTTACTAATGATGGTAGGAACCTAATCACATTTTTCCAATGTGATTACATTTAATTCTAGCTCTAAACAAGAGTTCTAAGCCATCCTCAGACACTTGCCCAATGTGAGAACACTTTAACTTGCCCATATGCTGAGAGATAGTATGCTAATGAATTTTAATTTGTTAGCTAGTATGAACTACCCTTCATGGTGGAGGTAATCCATGTAGATCTTGCTGTGTTAAAAGCTACTTATAAACACATAAGTGACTTTTGGCTGTGAACTGATCCTACAAGCTACACAGTATGAAAATACTATTTGGAAAAACAAGGTGGTAGTGCCAAAAACATAAACAAAGCAGAGTCTATTTGCAGTGAAGTTAAATCAGTGTAGAATGGGAAAAGAATGAATCAAACAAAGTTTCAGTTGGATTGGCTCATTATAATCTTCCTAATAATCAAATAACCAACTACGTACAACTGAGCTTCTAATAATAATAGGAGTAAGAATTAAAACTAGAAAATTCAAAATTAACAATCAGAAAACTTGAGCTTCAGACCAAATCAAGACATATGAGGCAAAACTCGACTAGACTAAAATTTACAATGTTTTAAATCTAGTAATTATTTTTTATCCAGTCAACTTAAATTATTTGAATTGGCTAAGTTTCAGCTTAAATTGAACCTAAATTGCAATATGTGATGTAATTGTTTGAATTCAAATTAACCTTTGCAGAGTTAATTTGACATGAACCCTTCGCATTCAGAACTAGAGATTCAAATTCTCAAGTGAATGATGATGGATGCATCTGGGCCCAGCGGGATTCCAATTACGAATATTCCTTTTTTCTTGGTCTTTCAGACTCCTTCCCTGCCGAGCCGCCTCTCTTCGCCATTCGATGCTTCCGCCTTCGCTTTCTATAACATACCCAGGCGCCCTCCTTTCCCATCACTAATAAAGTCGAGAACAGCGCATATTCCAACAATACCATCAACAAGCAAGTGTTACAAGAATATGAAAAGCATGATTAGATGATAGAATGAAATTACACAACCAATCACTCAGAAGTACTGTTGTTCCATGGAAAGAAATAAAGCTTTAAAAGCATATGTGTTAATTTGAAGAAGAGATATTTGTTACCTTGGTCTCTGCGGCAGTTTTACTCAAGGACTCGCAGAAGCTTTACTCCAAACGGGGAAGGTGAATGAAAGAGGTGAATGAATATTTTGGCGGGCATATGTTTTTTCGCGGGATGAGTTCGTGGATAATTTCTACGGTTTTGGCCCTATATTTGCTTCACGTGTGCTGAGTCATCATGTCAAGGGAAATGTTATGAGAAGACGGTGGTGTCTACAATGTCAAAATAAATATTTAACAGCTCAGCTTCACATGAAGTTAAACTCACTACGTTGGAAACCAATATTTTTTCAAAATGTTAAATTTTGTGACGTAGCAGTATTTTTTAATGTGCACACCTTCAGGTTAAAGATGCTCTTAGCTACAAAACATTAGGCGCACCCTTCAATTCTTCCTCCCTTTAATCTACTTACACTACAAAAAAATACGGGATTGATAATGATTTTTGGCAAAGATTTTCTGAAATTGGCAGGGATTTTATACAAGTTTAAAATCTCTACCAAAAAAACTTATCATTATTAAATCATAGTAATATTTTTGTAGTTATCTCACATATCACATGTACATCGTCCACATTGTAACATTGAAGATGCTTTAATTCTATTCAAATTAAATGAAACTAGTACTACCTCCGTTCCTATTAAAACTTCCAAATAGGTTTGGCACAGATTTTAAGATAGTGGGTATTGTGTGGTGGAGAGTTGTGCAGAGGAGAGAGAAATGTGTAAGAAATGTTGTGAACCACAAATTTTTTACTAAAAGGGGAAAGTGGAAGTTTTAATTGGAACGGATGAAAAAGGAAAGTTGGAAGTTTATTTAGGAACGGAGGAAGTAATAAAACGTAACAGGTAATCAAAAATAAAAGCCAGACTTCAATTTCGCAACCCAACACCTCTGCGGTCCATTCAACATGACCCCAACCATGTCAGCGCTTTGCGTCTTTGCAATCCCAATCTTTACTTCATCACAAGTTGCCTTCGTGTAAAACGCAGTCTCGTGTTCTGTCCTGACTTCTGCCCTAACCCTAGCTTTCACATTGACGGTGAAAGTATAATCCTCCGCCCATTGCAAATCCGGCAGCACGAATATATCAGTAACGGCCCGCAACACCGGCTTTTGCTGAAGGCTATCCTGCAAGAAGGTTCCGAGGTTGGCTCGCATTAGCGTCTCGTTCCGGCCGTCCCATGCCACCGATACCTCGATCTCGTCGTACTCATATAGTACTCCAGAATTATCAGAACCGAACACTTGCCTGTTGTTGGCGAAAGCAAAAGCTATGGTGCAGTTGGCGGCGAGCGGCGGAGGTTCCGCTGCGGTGCTGTTGCTGCCGGAGGTGGCGAGTCTGGATGAAAGTGTGAAGGCGTAGATGCTTACTTGCGGAGGCCACACAATGGAAGAAATAATAATTATGCTAACCACACCAACGCCGGCTAAAATCATCGATACAAAAAAATTGCTCTATCAATCTGTTCTTTGCTATATGATGTTTCCTTCGTTGAAGGCAGCATGTTTGGTCTGAATTACTACTAGCTACCTCGTATGTACGCCGCATTTATAGGTGATTCGTCATAGGGTTCGTTAAGTTTTAATTTCGATCCAGGAGTTCATGTCCTTTTAGAAGACAGTATTTGTGTTTGGAATTAATTATATATTCTTCTCTCTAAAAAACAATTAAAATAAGAATTGGAATAGGATACTCCTTAGTTAATACGGATCGGAGTACCACTATAATTAAATCATACACGATAGTACTCCCTCCGTCCCATTTTACTTAGACAATCTTGAATTTTCAAGTCAAAGAAGTCTAACTTTGACCGATTATATGTTTATATAAAGAAAGTATTAATAATATGAAAATGATATGAAAATGATATGAAAATGTTCTTTGTTAAAAAATACTATGATTAAAGTATAACATTATTAAATTTTGCATAAATATATTTGTTTAAATAATTGGTCAAAGGTTATCATCTTTGACTCGAAAAATCAAGGATGGCTAAGTAATTTGGGACGAAGGGAGTATTAGTTTCCGCTCAATAATTTACTTTCCTTGTTTTACATGCATTGGGCGGGAAAATTGGACCCCAAATTTGTGACAACACTATTACTTTATATTAATTACTAGACGAACTACCCGTGCGATCGATGCACGGGGTGCATCTAGAGTGGAATAATAACTTGTTCGCAATTACATTCCATTATGAAGTATAATGGAATATAAAGAGCAATTTTCTAAATAAAAGAGGGCAATGAGTCAAATAAATTCTTTTATTATTTCAAATTTATTCATAGAAGTGAACTTTTATGAAAAACGATCAAGCATTTTAACCGATTTTTGACCTGTAATAGCATGTTTAACTTTAAAATTTTGTTAACATTTGAAGAATTATGAATAGAAAATGTGGACAATTTAAGAATGTTAAAATCTATACTTTGTATTTTTGGAACTATTTGTATGTTCTAAAAAATAATAAAAACACTTGATTAATCTTAATATTCCAAAACTTTAATTATTTCAATTGAAATTAAAACAATTGAATTAATTGAATAAAATGAAGTTACAAAATAAGAGCATATTCTTGATTGTGTTGTAAGTAATGTGGCAAACGATGATATTATTAAATGAAATGAGTTTGTTTTCAAAAACAAATAAGAGCATATTCCAAAAGTTTGGTTGAATACTTTTGAGCCTGTTTAGTAACATTGAAATTAGTCGAATCAGATGATTCTGTTGAAATTTATGAAGTTCTGGCTTAAATGGTTAGATTGGCTGATTCTGTTGATTTATGAATATGTGATGTCTTAAAGCTACTATTCAAGTCGAAGAGGAACACCAAGAACGCTTTACTGATCGAGGTTAAAAGAAGAAATATTAAAAACATGAACATTTTTAAGCCAAAAGATGAACAACTAATCTACCACGTGGGATATAGCTCATATCCGATGATCACCAGAAGCCACTCCAAAAAACCACAAAATGAGACGTACTACTATGTTTACCCGGTGGATGAAAGGTTTGACTCCTCTCATAAACTGGTAGTGGCTCTCAAGTGCTTTAAATACTATCATCCGGATGCCAGAACATTGCATCCCTATCTGCATAAGACTATCAAGTTCCATAACAATTCAACAGATCCATCTCAGCATCAATTGGAATTCCCTTTAATAATTTCAAATGCTAATGTAATTTATTTTCCCGTATGCTTTAATTCTATTGTATTTTCAAACATTTATTTAATAAAATAGGGAGGTGTTCCCCGACGCCCCCCCAACATTTATTTTCAACAGATCCATCTCAGCATCAATTGGAATTCCCTTCAAACATTTATTTAATAAAATGTTATGTTTAAAATATCTTTTATTAATAAAATAAAAGAAAAATTATATGAAAAATAGTTAAAATGGTCATCTACAACAATTTCAGCCAGTGCAGTCACCAACATAACTTTAATCTTACTTTTTTTTATTATAGAATATTATACAATTCAGTATTATATAATTCAGCTTATGAAATCAAAAATAAGCTCTTAAAGTTGGCGGATAAAGGCTTTCAAACTTTTTGGAGGTATATTGATTATTTCAAATCTTGAAGGGACTATTTTATCCATGGTCTCAAAGAAAAAAACAAAAACAAAAATGCACGATGACGGAAAAAATACAACATGCAAGTGGAGATAAAGTGAAGAAAAGATATAAATCAAGGGAATAACCTGCTATGTTATGTACGGAGTATAATTTTTATATGTACCATTGGATAGAAGATGTATAAGAAGCCGTTTGTCAACACTATTTTTCGGCTTATCAGATTTATCAGCCAATTTTTTCACCAAACACGTAATTTTGGCTTTCGCGCGTTGAATTGTGTAATAAGTAGAAAAAGTAAGGTTGGAGTTACTTTTATGGCTGTATTGGCTGAAGTTACTGTAGATGACCATTTTAGCTATTTTATATATAATTTTTTCTTTATTTTATTAATAAACTATATTGTAAAATTATTTTTTTCTTAAATCAGTAGAATCAGCCAATGCAGCCACTTCAGCCAGAACTTCATAAATTTCAGCAGAATCAATCAAATCAGCCGATTTTCGTGCTACCAAATAGGCTCTAAATGTTGTTTGTTACTCATATGATTTGATGTATTTCAATACTTATAAATAAATTGTGCTAAATAGGAATAAAAATATTTGTGAATTTAAGAAAAACAATGTTCCCTAAATAAGTGGAACTCTGCCATGTTTTGGCGTTATTAGATTTTAAGAGCCCGTTTAGTGACTCACATTTTTGGCTTATCAACCCTATCAACTACTTTTTCACCAAACACGTAACTTTTGAGTCCGTACGTGAATTGTGCAGTAATCAAAATAAGTAATGTTAAACCTATTTTATGCCTCCATAGATTGAAATTACTATAGAAGATGATTTTAGTCATTTCCACATAACTTTTTCTTCATTTTATTAGCGAAAAAAAATTTAAATATAATTTTTCCATAATTCAACAAATTCAACCCACTCAGCCGTTTTGATCAAAACTTCAACATTTTCAGCAGATTCAGCTAATTCAACAAATTTAGTGTCATCTAATGTCTCTAAATATGATACTCTTGCTTAAACTTGATAGTTATTACTCATTCTTAAGGGGCAAAAACATGACAGTTTTGTATATTTTTACATTCCAAATCGTTTTTACTCCTGTTTCAGGATTTTCGCTACTTATAATAGTGAAAATTTTGAAATTGAAGCAATTCTGACTAATTATATATGGAGTTATTTAGTATAGTTATTCAGAAAAATTGATTGTAATAATCCCAACTATTGGCGGTCCGCATATAATAATCCCAACTATCGATTATCTCAGAATAATCCCAACTTTAGTGACCTTCCGCCAATAATGGTCCGACATGACCGGCTATAAACAAATTCATATAGTTTCTAAAGTGGATGAGAAGAGATATAACAAGTCATCCCTATAAATAATTCAACTTTTAAGTAATTTTTACGCTTTATTTCTATTTAAAATTCACTTGTTATAGCAGATCATATCTGGTCATGGACCATTATTGGCGGAATATCACTAAAGTTGGGATTATTCTGAGATAATCGATAGTTGGGATTATTACAATCAATTTTTCCTAGTTATTAAGTAATATATACTACTATATTGAACAATATTGGTTATTACGTTTATTTACATCTTTAATGTAAACACCATATTTTCACCAACTTTGAATACCATTTGAATATGTGTTTTTAGGCTTATATATCAGTCTTATCAACCAATCTTTTGATCAAACATGCATGTAACTTTTGGTTTTGCGCGTTGAATTATTTAATAATTAAAATAAAAATGAGCACAATACAAGTCTGTCTCAGCATATTTTCATTCTTTCACTTCTTTCATCATTATGTAACATTCGGTTTTGCACATTGATGCATGTATTTAATGTATTTTCTATTTTGGTGGTTTGCCTTCCGGGTTAAAAAAAATGGATGCAGATCAAATAAAAAGCATTCCTCCCGTGAAAATTGCAATCACTTCTTCCACAATGTGATGCATTATTGTATTCCTATGTTGCACTTTTTCAAATTGTTAGAAAACTTTGACTTATTTACGAAAATGTCACGACATTTTTTTATTGAGCATGGTTCAATTGAAGTTCAAAAACTGCAATAAATCGCCCTTAAAGTACAGCACGTTGAGGAATTAGTGAACAATTTTCAGTTTTTATATTAAGATTGGTTTTTATTTGATCCGAAACATATACGGAAAGGAGCATTAGTTATATAACATATAACGCTCAAATTGTTTTTTTATTCAGCCATACAAAGAGTTATATGACACACATGTATACAACGCTCAAATTAGTTTTGTTTCTTTCCAAAAATTATTTATGAAATACATAGTATATATGAGTGTTAATGATTTACGGAATATTATTGTAACGCCCGTACTTTTTATCGACTTCTTATGTGCTAATTAATTATATATGATCATGTTTTAACTTATGGTTGAATGCTATATATATGAAGTATATGGATATCATGTGATTATGAACTTTGTGATAATGATATTTGAATTTACATGCTTGTATTATGTTTGAACGTGACATGCGACGGTAACCGATGAGCAACGAAACTACACCATAATAATCATTCGTATTTTTGAATGTAATGGTATATCAAGTTATTTTTCATGTTATATAGTATTCGAGTTTTTAAAATATACTTTAAAATGTCATCGGGGGTCTAGGATGTGAACGGTAACAATCGGGGTCGGTTTAGGGCGAAAAATGACGTTTTCGGCACCCGATTGACCTCAAACCGGCGCCGGTTGAACCCGGACCGGCGCCGGTCCAAAACAGAAGCTTTAGGCCGTGGAATGGCAGGAAAACCGGCGCCGGTTGGGCCATAACCGGCGCCGTTCTGGGTGATTTTTTCCCAGGTCGGTGTACGTCGTATTTAAACGGGAAATATCCCCTTTTCCCTAAAATGAAGCCCAGCTCGA